ACATACATACATACATACATACATACATACATACATACATACATACACACATACATACAGACATGCATACATACAGACAGACATACATACATACATACATATACACATGAGGAAAAACACATGTATGTATGTTGTCACGTGCTGCACGGGAGGCCTTTATCTTCGGGGGCCACAATGGCCAGAAGCCCTTGAAAACTGTTGAGAGCTTCCGGCCCTTGGAGGATGAGTTGTTGCCGGTGAGCAAAGCCATGGGGCAAGATTGCTGGGCACCCCTTCAATAGCAATGATTTTGTCTCACGCAAGTGTATCGACAAGGTGTAGTTGAGAAATCTCATGGCAGGATGCCAAAGACCCTGGCGAATGGAAAGAGGTGCCGGCCATGCTAGCACGGCGTACATATGCGACTGCCTGCGAACTGGAGGCGAGATGGGTGGTTGTGATGGTGTGATGAGAAAATATCACGGGGTTAAAGATGCGCCATCCATTGCAAATGCATAGAACTGCGCAAGTGAAGTCAGCTTCATTGGAGTCATCAAGAAGAACACGAAAAAATCCAAACAAGCAAACGCACATCAGCAAAAAGGACAGAAACACGTACTGGCAGGGAAAGATCTATGTCGTGGGCGGTAGTGCTGATGGCAGAACTCTGAACACCTTCGAGGCAGAAGTGCAATTTTTGGGGTGGGGGTAGTGGAGCAAGCCGCATGCTGGACGGGGTAGGCAACAGCTAGCTATATAGTGGGTTTGAGCTGGGGTATGAGGAAGTCAGCTGCAAGCAAGAAGCAATTAGCAGCAAGGATGTGATAGAGTTTTTGCCACAAGAAACGGTTCCTAGGTTCTAGATTGCGAGGGTAGTTTTGAGTCGAGTAACCATGGAGGTACTGGACCCGGAGTCCAATGAGTGGGACCAATGGTTCACAAAGCCTCCCATGGGCACGAAGCGTACAATGCATGGCGCTGCAGTTGCCGGAGGGCGACTTTACGTCTCTGGGGGCTTCGATGGAATCAGAGATTTGGCCTCTGCTGAGATGTATGACCCCAGGCGCATTGTAGTCACGTTTACTAGGGCCTGGGGCCTTGGCATCACAATTACCCGGAACAATCAGTAAACAATTACCCCTATTCAGTATTGTTGAGTCAAAATGGTGAAACAACTCCATGGACTGCGAAAGGGCAGACACAAACTTAGTGGGCAAAGAAATAACCTTAAACCTTGCCCACAAACCGCCGCAACTTTGGCAGTTTGTTTTCTTCCCGTTCGAGTTACTGTAGTTGTGGCCGTGGCACAGTTTTGCCTCGAGAGAGCGCCAGACTTTTGTCAGGAGCAACTCTTGGAGCAGTTCCATGGACGCCATGTCGGTTCCACGCTCCTACCATGTGATGGTGTCCACCGGCGACAAAGTCTATGCCATTGGAGGTCGGGGCTTGAATCAAGTCAGAGAGCTTGAGACAAACAAAGTGAGTACAGATATACACCAGTCAGCAAGTTTCCGTGTGAGAACCTGTTGGCCGAGGTCAGGAGCGCCAAGTCAAGGACGAGCAGAAACCTCGAGCGCATCAAAGCATAGAAGCTTTCGAACTCTATTGCGAGAGGTGCAGAGTCTCAGAAATTACAAAAATCTTCGAACTTGAAAGAGGGTGGAAGACTGGAGTGAAGATTTTGCTTGGTTTGGGGGCTTTGGAAGCCTCAAGGTGGTTGCCAATGCCTCCCATGTCTGTGGGGCGGATTGGTGCCGCTGCCACCACCTTCCAAGACGAGCAAGGAGATCACCTTATTTATGTTGCTTGGATTTACATGGGATGAACATCTGGCAGGCAGGATCCTTTTTTGTGCATTCTGAGGTCACTGGTGGCTCTGATGGAGATCAGGTCTTGAGCTCTGGGGAAGTCTTCAACCCGCGGCTAGAGACGTGGCAGGACATGGGTTCAGAGGCATTGTGTGTCAGTTTGTGTCAGTGAGTTCCTGAAAATAGGACAATACAACCCCCAAACTAAAACAGTCAAGCGTGCTGACCATCCAAGTGGCACCTATTTTGTATGTCGAGTCTCGTCATTTGAGCCAACATGCATTGCGAGGAGTTGCCACCGATGACAGTTCCAAGGGTAGGGCACTGCTCCTTTGCAATCGAGGGCCGCGTCTATGTCGTTGGAGGGATGGATGGCAAGGCCACACATTGCTTGAGTGTGCAGCTGCTGAGAATATTCCACGTGGCGACACTGATGCAATTTCAAAGTAACTATGTGTGCATGAGCCGACCATACAGGAACTTTGAAAGAGGGCTTGACAAATGGCTATGAATTCACAAGCAGGTCCAAGGTTCCACAGGCTTTAGCAATTTTCTTTAACTTTGGCGTTTGGCAGACTATATCCGGATTTTTGACCAAGAGCCAAATATTAGGGTCTAATATGTTGCAGCTGGTTCTTGTTACTTTGTTTCTGATGACATGCAGCGAGGTGGTCCTGGACACTTACGAGGTCTTTGACCTTTCGGAGAAGAGCTGGTCATTGCCCCAACATCTGGGAGCTGAACGAGCTGGACTCGGCTCGAATGGGCTTGTTGTTATCGAACTGAGTAACGCGTTGTCGCCACATTGTCCATAAACAAATACGTTTGGCACTGTTGTAGTGCTGCAGAGTTGAAGTTGCACGCCGTTGCACGCCGTTTTCCTTTAGACTAGACTTCTGATTCTATTTTACCATCATCAACTGCCCTTCCTTGCTTTCAGATGCATGGAGGGCAAGCAGTTGTCGGCCTCGTTTGTGGCAAGACCGGAGGACTTGCTAGTCCAGGTGATCCTGAAGATGAGCCATGTGACGACCTCTAGCCAGTCCATTTGCTTTTTCCGAGTCCAGAGCGAATCGCCACTGGCCTTGGTTGAGCATGAGGATGACTCCTGACATCCTGAAAGCTGGGAATGTCAGATTTCACCGTTTCACTCAGAGAGGAAGAAGTAAATCTTGCAAAAGTTGAATCTTTTGACCGCATTTCATGTGCATGCTGTCGAATGATTTTGAGTGACCCGATGGTTGCACTTCTCCAAGCTTGTGCCCAAGTGTTTGCCTTTAGTGACTGAGGTTCTGGAGTGCTTGGTGCCCGAGAGGCTGCACGGAGGACACTGCTACTCAGATGCAGGATGGCAGAGCATGGGTCAGGTGGCCAGGAACTTCCCTCCTGCAAGCAACGATATGTTCAATGCAACTGCTATGTTAAACAGACAAAACAACACACACACACAGCTATAAAAAGACGGTAGCAACGCCGACCAATCGCTTTCTGAGAACGGTCGCGACGATCGGCCGGGTGTGGCGGTCACTTTTTCTGGAGGTCTTCAAACACCAAGACTAAATCTTTGTCGAGTAAAGTGCTGTACAGGATCTTTGTGCTGCAGTGATCATCCAGTGGATAGACATGTAGCAGAAGACCAGATCATAAACACATGCTGAGACCATGCCTGATCAAGACCTTGACCCGTGGCACCTACCCTTGATTCTGCCCCCAGCATTGAGAGTCTTTCTCATCCCAATGCTTTCAACGGAACCCAACGCCTCTCACACCACAAGTTGCGGCGTTGACATCGCTCCCATTGGTGCCCAGACTCTCTGCGGAACGCCCGGCCATGGCATCTGCGGCACTGCGTCGTGCGGCCGGGAGAGCTACGCGCCTGTGCTGTCTTTTGGTTCAATTTATGGCGGTACTTGAAGTACACTTACTATACTGTGCTGTTCTTGCGTTTCAATCTCAGCCAACTTGAACTGCAATCGCTCTTATCTAATTGATGTACTTTACGCCATCTCGTTCATCAGCCGCTCTTTTCGAGGTGGCCTTAGTTTGCTTCAACTGCCTTTGGCATTGGTGGCGGTCTTGCCACTTCCTGGACCAGAATTCAAGCGTGGCCAGTGGTCCTTTCGAGTACTTGGTCTTGGCCTATTTGGACCGAGTGGAGTCCGGGTGGACTCGGTGTGGACTCGCGGAAATTGCAGACTTTTTTGTCGTCAAGGGGCCGTAGCGATGTAGGCTATGAATCATAGCAATCCAGATTCAAGGGTCCAAGCCACTCTTGTTTTTCATTTGTTTAAAGTTGCACCCAAACCAAAGTTTCTTTGATGGAGTGCCTTTGATCCCGCTCGAGGGCAAACTCTCAAAAGTCCCAGATGATCTGCGCAGGACTCTCCTGTTGCGCCTTGGATTAGAAGTTCTGGCATGCCTCACGTCCTCGATCTCATGCGGCCAAAGCTTGTGATCGTGTACTCTCTCAGGACTTGACTTACAGAAAGAAAACGCATCATTAGTTAGTGTGAGCGCTTCTTCAAGAAAGCTCCCCCCGCCCTCAGGCGGGAGCTTCCTTGAAGAAGCGTGAGCTATCCTGCGTTCTAGCTAGGAACTTCCTATTGCTAGTAGCTTACTCCCTTAATTAAGTAGCGCCTACCGAATTATAGTAGGAGTGGGCTTAAAATACGGACTTTTTCGGTTCGAGGGGATGAAACCGGTGAAGTTCCTGAGGCGCTTACCCACTTTGTGCATTAGCTTGCCTGGTGGTATCAGAGAGCGAGGAGGGCACGGTCTCGGCATGCGAAAGGGGAGCTTGTTGGACCAAAGATGAAATGCTGTCCTACAGGCCTGAAGCAATTGAAGAGGCCAACCTTTTCAACATTTCATTCTTGGGGAACTGGACTAAGTAGGCACAGTAGGTTTTAGTATCAAGTCCCTGCTCCATCGCGCTGGTGATCCATTTCTTGGCCGTTCAGGCTCACCCTCCAGCATTAAGGCTTCGGGGTGTGACCGATAGAGGCTCAAGATGACTCAACCTAGAAATTTGCAGCTGTTGCCGGCATGGCTAAACTCACTTGAAGCATGTTTGAATCATGTCAGTGCCAGGGCTTGTAGCATTTAGTTCAGGGGATTCCTGAAATTTCTCTGTCAATTTGGCCGAGCGCCATGGGCTGCGAGTCAAGCCGGCCTCCTGCGAGTGCCAAGCCTGAACCTTCACCTGCGCCGGAGGGCCGGGGCAACTCGCGGGTCCGCAACTCCCAAACCGAAAGGACACACCGAAAGATTTGAGTCCTTGAAACACACTGCCACTGCGTGACAGCTGCACCACGGTCAGGAAACGAATCAGTATCACACTGCCTGATGATCCTCCAAAAGGCAGGTGCATTTGGTGCAGAAGAACAGGGTCAATAAAGTCACTACTGAAACATCTTCTGACACGGCGCAGGTCAGAAAGTCAAGAGTCCGCAGAGAAGCCCTTTCGGCATGCTGGCAACGGCCACGTCGGCTTGTATTCGGCATGCTTGTATTCATCATTCTACTCATGGGGCACCGCGTTTCCATTTCGCAAGATTCCTTGCCAGGGCACGCTGGGGAGTGCTTGGTCAATTCCGACCAAGCAGGCAGGCTTGCAGTTCTCTTGTCCGCCATGTGTTCCGTAACATTGGAGTTTCTCAGGCAGGCCTTTCCCCTTACATGAGGACCATTTGAACTCCAATGAACTATTCTGCTCAATCAGGCTCAATGTTAGTATACTGACTGTATATATATATATATATTAATATAGGGCCTTTCTGTGGCAGTTGAGCATCCCATTGCGTGCAAGCTGATCAAGCTAAAGGAACTGTTTGTGCAATTCGCTGGTCAGTGCCGACAGTTCTTTTCAAGTGCGCCCCTTCGATTCATTCCAGCATATCACCCAGGGCGCTCTTCGAGCCCACTTCCTATCTGAACCTTGGAACGCATCTTGCAGGGTCTGCGATGTGAAATTATCGTGCGGAAATGATGGAACATTGGACTCAGTGCGAGTAGTGGCCTTGGAATTGGAATGAAGCAATCAACCGAACACCTTTGTCAGATTTTGTCAGCTTTTTGTAGTTTGCGCGTGCGTGTTTTCTTGTATGAACTGGCTATCAAGTTCGCCTATGAAACAGTGCTCCTTTTGTGCTGTTCAGGGTTGGCTTCGGCCTGTGTGCCACAAAGGACGAGTACCTGGATGGTCTCGACATGAACCCTACAGAGACTCAGTACAAGCTGGAGGTGCGTTGACTTGCTTGTGGGCATTTTCTGCGGCTATACAGGCAAGCTCTAATCCAATCCCCCCGCCAGAATGATTGTTCGTTTGTATGCGTCTACCAGGCAAGTTTGCAAGTTTGCTGGTGCACTCCTCGTTTGAAAGCATGTTTTATTCACAAGCTCCCTTATCACAGGATAGGCCAGGAAAGAGATGCCAATGATGCCACCTGTTGCATTCAGAGTCTTCTTTTGGACTGGGTCAAGAGTCGCACCAGGCTCAGGCGCAAGTGCCCCTGTACAAGCATTCGGCAACAGGCATCTTGCACTGACGGACCTTGCTAGTTTGTCACAGGCTTCAGCAGCCACTTGCAGGCTTTGTTTGAAAATGCCAAGGCGTTATAATATGGCGCCGGGCCATTGAATTGGCATCGTCAAGGTACCGTTCCGATGAGGGCACGCTCTTGTTGCTTGGACAGGTATTCAGTCTTGAGTTTCGAAGTGCCCAGAGACCGATTCTTGAAGTTGTGGTTTCTGACCTCAGGTTTCACTACACCACAAAGGGTAACTTCATGGCGATTTGTTGTGCAGCGTATCTTACTCCAGAACTGTGGTCGGCCTTGAAGGATATTGATGGATGCGCGGACCTCAAACACGGAGTGGTGAAGCGGCGACTTGAATGCTCGCAGCCGCTTGTTCATTTTGTTTGGCACTCAGGCGTCCATGGCTTGTCCGAGGAGCCGGATCAGCTCGATACAAAGGAGATCGAGGCCATTTGGACATTCCTGCAGCTATGTGAAGTAGTCGGACCATGAAGCATTCCTGCAACATTTCACCGCCAAGACAAGAGAAGTGCATGGCGGCATGGTGAATGCGCGCCCGCATTGACTTGCTGCCAGGCCAAAGCGTCCGACGGCAATGGAGCGTCGATGTCCGTTCGGCCAGTAGCGAGTGGCATCCCGCCGCGCAGCTGCATCGTTGCCAAATTGAAATACCCGAGGCAGCAAAAACAGCAAACGCGTGAGTGCATCTCCTGTAAGAGAAAGAGTGCCGCAAGTATAGGAGAGATGAGCAGGTCATGGTCATAACATGTCACGGGCTCTCTGTAAGGTCTAATGTATCGAAGTATTGCTTGGTGATCAAGGTGCCAAAGGATGGGCTTCGTGAGAATCCGCGGACAAAATCGAAATGCAGGCAACATACTATATTATTGACAGTTGTTCACATTTTAATGTATACCCAGATATGTATAGTTATAGAGACATGGTATTAGTTAGTGCTACCAGGCTAAAGTCGTGGTGTTGAGCCCAGACTATGATTTGAAATGATTTGAATGTCCTCCCAGATGTTTGCGCTGCGGTCCTGTAGTACATCAATTACGATGCCATGTTACTTTGACCTTCGAGACTCCAGGACATGGTTCAAAAGTCACCGGGACAATCGAAGCACCAGATGTGGAAGAGACTTGGCCGGATGTCCGAAATGCCCAGCAAGTGATCCCACCCAGCGCGAAGGTGGCGCACCGCCGTCAACCCGTATCGGGGTGCAGGAAAAGGCTGCAAACAGTAGTCAGGAAATAGGCTCAGTGATAATTCGGTTATCTTTGATCGATTTGAGGATCGTGTGCCCAGAGGAAGCAGCGTACCTTGGCTTGACAGGTTCGACAGGTGTGTGCACTAGGTTCAATCAGCCCACGCGAATCTAAGAACCTTTCAACGCCTGAGGGAGATGATCAACACGTCACAACAAATTCATGTGTGATGACGGTGTCTATGGCATCAGTTAAGGTGCCTAAAGTTGGCAGCTTCGAAAAGCGAGCAGCGCCTACTGAGAATATTGGAGGTCCGCGAAATTGACCGATATGAACAGAGTAGGCTGCAGAGCGTGCATGCTCATGTTCTGTCTGAAGTCCAGTCTGCGTAGTAGAGTGAAGAGACCTAAACGCTTTTCGGCACATGATTTATTGCAACATTATTGCGCTTGTGTGTGTGTGTGT